CAGAGACATTTTGCAGGGGTGGAGTGGGGAATGGGATCAAAAACGGGGGTGGGGGGGTGGGGAGGGAAGTGCATGGGATTATGGTGATGGCACACGGGTGACTTGGTGATGGGAAATCCGCAGGGATTACAATTGAGATGGGAAAAAAAAATGTACAAAATGATGTAAAAATAAACTTATATAAAAAAAAGTTTAGAAAAAAAAATGTGGTACATATACACTGCTGCTATCTTCACAGTGCTGACTTTTTAACCTTTGTGCCACTAGGGAGGCCCTGGAATACTTTTCATACTCAATTCATCCTCTTCTTTCCCCTATATCATAGGTGTTGATGATATAACTACTGAACTTACTCTCTTTATGAAGGCATGTAATTAATTTCTAATTATGATTTTAATATTAAAATATGAAATTTCAATATCAAAAGTATGAGATAAAGACATTTAAAAATAGCTAAAAGGAGGGCCTTCCTGATGGTGCAAGGGGTAAAGCACAGCACTATGAAGCTATCTGCAGCCAATGCAGCATGAGTTCCATCACCAGCCAGGAAGGTGACCCACATGGCATAGGAGGCAGACCTCTTCTGACCCGCCTGCTGCTCCCCTCGGCGGTGTATTTCACTAGATCTGCCTGTTCTGTTCCCACTGTCTCTGGTGACTCCTCTCCCCTCTCCTGCCACACGTCTGGTTTGTACCCCAGTTCTTGTATGCTTAAATTTAAGTAAAAATAAAATAGCAAAAAGGAGGTGGTGAACCAATGAACTATGGTGGAGCTGCTGGTTGGCTTGCTATAGTAAGAAACATTTGCATAGGTATAAACCTAATAGCACTAAAATATTAACAATGTTAAAAGCCAATGTTACCTCTCTCTATATATATATATTTTTAAGAAATCACATACATACAAAAAAAAGAAAACAAGAATACAGTCTAAGAACTAATTCAATATCCTGATGTGGGGTGTTAAGCTACAAAAATCTACCATCTCTAAAATGTTATTACCAACACCATCACTCAAAGGTAAGCACCAATAGTAAGTTGCCAGATTCTCACCTTCAGAAATGCTGGAGTCATGAAACATGGTTTCAAAAGCTTGATGTGTTTCAGAAAAAGAGGGTCTGTCAGCAGGGCTCCACTTCCAGCCTATGTAACAAAAAGGAAACATTACAAGTTCCTTGCAGAAATCTAATGCCCAGCATTCTGCCTGCCAGGTGCTTGCTAAGGCAGAGTTACAGCCAGCTCATGATGACAGTAGGGCAACTGCTTCTCAGATCTAGATCCAGAATTTGTAACGAACCCATTTCTGAGAGCTGGTCATTCTTGCACTAGTCCTTCACTAGTAAGATCGAGAAGGGGGCCGGGGAATAGCTTAGAAAATGTTTTCTTCCACTAGAAAAATGAAATAAGTAAAAACATCCCCAACTCACTGTAACCTTTTAAATAATCAGCTCTATATATTTGGAGATAGTAGGGTATCAGAAAGGAGGAGCTGAGAGCTTACATTTGAAAGACATAAAGCAGTTGGCAACACCAGTGCTCAATGAAAAATAGAAGACATGCTCAAATACAACCACAGTTTCATTCATTATTCAACTTCCCACTTTCTTATGATTCAAAAGTCAGAAATGCTGGTTTATTTTAACAGTCATCTTTATCTACTTAAAAGAAGCCCTCCCCTATTTAATCATCACACCCAATTTTTATTGTGCGTTAAATATGCCAATGGTTTGGAGAAATTGAGCCAATATTTGAATAACAGGCAGCTATTCTTATGATTCCAGTAAGATGCACTAGTGTATCATATGATATACGAAGTGGCTGACCAATTAACAAGCTTTATGACTTGGGATTGTAATCAATGTAACATTGAAAGGAAAATACTTCCATTTTTTTAAATTATCCTGAATTGTGCCTTAAATCTTCAAAATTTAAATACACAAAGATACTTACATGCTCTCATAAGTTCATAAACCTTAGGGGGGCATCCTTCAGGCTGTTCCATTCGATATCCTTTTTCCAATAGATCATAGACTTGAGATAGGTCAATACCTGGATATGGTGACATTCCATATGTAGCAATTTCCCACAATAATACCCCAAAAGCTGCATAAGGGACAAAGAAAAAAAAAGAAGAATTTACTTTTATTCCTTGATTAATTATGTATTTTATACCATTAGGCAATTTCTTTTTCAGATTGTGGATAACATTCACACTGTTACAGTATCCGTGTAATGTTCTATGTCTTAGAACACATCGATTCTTAAAGCATAACTTGCCCTTCTGAGATATGTCACAATAATGCTTCAGACTTAATTTCATGAAGAGTCTCCTTAAATTTCCCAATTTCAAAGTACATTTTCTTTGCTACGAGGAAAAATTATAGTATGTAGTCTGGGGGTATAGTCAAAGAAGTCTTAGAATATCTGACCTACTTAATGAATTTCAGTTTTCAAGTCAGCTAATATCAAAAGAGTAATGCAAAAAATCACTTGATTTGTCACAATCACAAATAAAATATCTGAGTTTGAGATTTCTGATAAAAAGTGACTCAAAATCTACAAGTATTTCTATTGCCCTACAATCCAAATTTCCAAATTTATTCAGTCCACTGAGCTTCTACTAAAACACAATGATTTTCAGAGCTGTAGAAATAAGATCAGCAAAAGGACAAACTGGAGATGAAACTTCATCACGCCTCCCTTGAAATGAGGATGCACTGTCAGAGTGCTCTAAAAACCGAATAAGGAAAATGGAGCTTTACAGAGAGAGGGTTTTTAGAACACTAATGCAAGATGAGGTCTCTACTGTGAGTTATTTGAAGACAGGGACATTTTCTTATTTACCTTCTATGCTAAGTAGTATAATGCCTGGTGGGTAGATGTTATTTAATAAATGCTTGCTGAATGACTGAAGAAGGATAAAGAAAAGTAGAGGATATTTACAACATAAAAGAAAAACTCTAAAGAATTAATAAGGAAAATAAAACGAAACACACAGAAAAAAAAAATCCCAAACTTACCCCAAACATCAGATTTAATTGAGAAGGTATTATAGGCAAGACTTTCTGGTGCTGTCCATTTAATGGGAAATTTGGCACCAGCATGAGCAGTATAGGTGTCTCCAGTCATCAATCTACTTAAGCCAAAGTCTGCCACTTTTACCACATGGTTTTCTCCCACTAGGCAGTTTCGAGCTGCAAGATCTCTGTGGGAAAGAGAACCCTAATGTGAATCGATTCAGAGGTGATGATAAAGGTCATGAATGTACTACTCTCAGTTCTTTGGGTTACAAGCAGAGTTGGTAAGTGATGACAGATATGGTAGCATTTTATGGTAATTGTTATCATGATAAAAAGCCACTAATTATATATCACTTATTCATTGAGAGAATAAAGCGGGCTTCAGAAAATACATTCATTTATAAGTACATTGGGACAGCTTTCTAAGGTAACAGAGGCTTTATTACAAGGCTCTCGTTCTTCACTAAAACAAAAGGCTATCTTTAAAATTAAGCCACTAGATGGAGCAAAACAATCTGGTACATAATCCTAGAGAAAATAAAGAGCTTTCTGTTTTGAGAATAGGAAGGCATCTCACTAATTCTTTAATCAAAGTACAGCAGGTTTGCAAGCTGCAAGTGATATTAAAATGGGCCCTGAAGCTTCTGCAAATTTGAGAAGGTTCTAATTTTCTTTCCTTTATTGGCATATCAAGCTCCATAGTTAGATGAAGGTAGTTATAAGGTTGTACACACCTATGAATGAAATTCTTCTTCTCCAAATACTCCATTGCAGAAGAGATCTGAGTGGCCATATAAAGCAACACAACTGCTGTCACTTCTTCTCGGTTGCATTCTCGGAGATAATCAAGCAGGTTTCCATATGGCATGTACTCAGTCACAATGTAAAATGGTGGCTCCAGAGTGCACACACCTGACAGTTCAAGAATAGAACTCATTTTCTTAGTATATTTACACACTCCAAATCATTTTAGCAAGAATAACCGACAATTTAAAAAGTCTAGTTCAGCAGTAAACTTTTTCTTTATTGCCATCACATTCTCTGAATATAGCTGAGCAAAGTTGTTCAGGAATCTCTACTACCACTGAAGTTATGCTGCAGTGGCAGTGGTTGCTAATGGCTTCATAGTGCTGAGATTTAACCACTTGAGGCCCCACAAAAGCAGTTATGTGTATTAATTCCATAAGTGGTGAAGAAGAATGAAATTAGATTTCTATATATGTCCATGATTGCTGTCCTCAACTGCATGCTAATAATGCTTATCTCAAAGTAACAACTATACATGTTCAAAATTATGTGAGTCTAGTCTGTAATAACATTTTATAAAAACATTATAATTGTTTCCATAATAAAAGACAGCACTAATATACAGCAGATTTCTTGTAAACAATCAACCAGAAACCATCTCCTTTAGAATAGTTTGGTTTTATATGAAGAAACCAGTTCTATTTTCTATTCATCAAAGAAACTAATTCTATTTTCCAGTGGGCAAAGGCATCAAAGGCTTCTTTGGCCCCTATACTAGTGAGAAGTCAATCTATCACCAGCACAGCACTTCAAAGGTACTTGAAGTGCTTACAAAGGTAAACTGAGGGAAGTGGTCACAATTTTTAATCTTTGTTAATTGTCTATGTAGGGCTCTCCCTGGTGGCATAATGGGTTAAAGCACCACGTTATGAAGCTCTCTGAAACTGAAGTCACTGCTGCACAAGTTCAATCGCAGCCAGGGAGACCAATGGCGTGGCAGACCTCTCCTGACCCACCCGCTGCTCCCTTCAGCAGTGTACTTTGTCAATCTGCCTGTTCTGCTCACCGCTCTGTCTCTGATGAATCCTCTCACCACCCCTGTACCTCTGGCCTGTACCCCAGTTCTGTAAGCATAAATAAATCTTTTTTAAAAAAATCTGTTTATGTAATAATGTCATGACACTTTTGGGTCTGTTACCATTTTGAACGATTCTGAACTTCAAACCTGGGTTAATTACATATATTGCAATAAATCCATGCCACTGTTTCTTGGGCTATCTTTAAAAACATAGTCTACTGATTAAAATGACAATCTTTTTTTTAAAGTAGATTCATATTTGCAACTTCCAACACAGTGATTTAAAAGGAGAGTTGGAGGTAACAGAGCTGAGGGACAAGCACCTTTGAGAAAACATGCAGTTCATGAATTTTCTCACCTAATAATTGCACCAAGTTAGGATGCTTGATTTCCTTCATCACTGCAGCTTCTTTTAGGAATTCCTCCACCTCCATAGTATCTTCCTGGGAATGGGGAAAGAAAGAAAGAAAAAGAAAGAAAGGAGAGAGAGAGAAAGGAAAGGAAAGGGAGGGGAGGGGAAGGAAGGGGAGGGGAGGAGGTAAGGAAGGGAAGAAAGGAAGGGAAGGAAGGGAGGAAGGGAGGAAGGGAGGGAGGAAGGGAAGGGAAGGGAAGGGAAGGGAAGGGAAGGGAAGGGAAGGGAAGGGAAGGGAAGGGAAAGAGAAAGAGAAAGAGAAAGAAAAGAGAAAGAAAGAGAAAGAGGCAGGACAAATACCTATCTTAATAATGTGAATCAACTCACAAACCCAGAACATTAGCTTTAAGAGAGGATGTCTTTTGAATACTTTAGCGATTACATCAAGAAATTTTCATTAAAACCTAATATGTTCTACAGATGTTTAAGAAAGAAAAATGCCTCGAACATATCCAATATTTTAAATGACTAAAAATTAACAGCTGTGGCAAAACTAGGCTATCAACTCCTATTACAAGTGAAACACAGGCAATTTGGGTAGATAGCTCGGTACTCTGATATTTACTTTTCTAAACATCTCAGCCTTTGAAAGAGGAAATATTTTACATATTTGTCTTCCAGCTTAGATCATATGCTCCTTAGGAAGCAATGCAGTTTTGCATGGTCTTTCATAATATTTCACACTCAGAATATACTTACTTAGCATTTACTTTAAAGAACTGACTACTACTCACTGCTGAAGAGCAGAACTTATGAGTGATATGTCAGAACTATATGCAAGGCATATGGGAAAATCTTCAGAAAATGGAATGAGTGACAACCCTGTTAATCTGATGCTGTAATGCTTGACAAAGAGATAAGAACGGTATCAGGAGAGAAGATTTATGTGGATGGGAGGCACAAGAGGCAGGCAGATCAAGGTTAGAGTAAGAGAGAACTCATGATTCTCAAACAAAGCATGAAGAGTTCTATTCAGCACAGGTCATTTTTCTGAAGCAAATAGCTTGTTTTGCTTTTCTAACTTATAATTTACTTCTAACCTCCCACTAAGATCTTTATCAACAGTTTCCAAAGACAATCCTTCCACACATGTGGGTTTCACTGTATTGCAATGAGTAATCTGCCCCTGCACTGTCAGCCATGGTACAGGACTAATGGCATTAGGGTTAATCATCACAATTTGCTGATGGCACCAGTGGGTGGAAGTGTTGCCAAGTTAAAGAAGGACATGCTGATATTTCCAAGTGATTCAGCACAAAAGAAAAGGAAGACTGAAAACTGCAATTCTCAGCAACCCACCTTCAGTGTTTTCACAGCAACTGTCAGGCTATATTTCTTCCAGACACCAACGTAAACTTCTCCATACTGACCACCCCCAAGTTTGTGCTTCATGGTAATATCTGTTCGTTCCATTTCCCATTTGTCATGGATGGGGGACACACCATAGACTGTAGGCTTATTACACTTGGGTGCAGGGTAGTGTAATGTTGTCACCAGCCCATCAGCCACTGTGGAGTGATGGTGAACAAGCTCTGCCAACGTGCTAAAGCGGCTCTCAGCAGTCACGTACACCTGGTCAGAAACGCAGGAGTAAAAGCTAAGTCAACTTGAAAAGAGGTCAGGAATCTTTTTTAAAAGCCAACTACTGAAGACCTGAACACTGGAGATTATTTTATTGAGGTACATGAAAGAATCAAGTGATAGTAGCAAAGGGAACCAACTTCAGTTTAATCTCATTTAAGTCACTGTTTCCTAAATTAGCTCTAATCTGAAAAGCTTACAAAATATTTCTCTGTATTACTAAGATCACTTGTCTCCCAATATTTTTTAGCAACAAGACTGTAGCAAGAGGGGCACTTGGTTTCCTATAAAAGTTTATGAAATACAGTCTTAGAATCTTGTATAGCCCATAATTTAAAAATTCAAGTTTTAACTTTTTGTTAGGAAGAGGGTGGTCAAATACCTCACTATTTGTATTTAAGTAAAACGTGCTGATAAGGCTATTTAAAAAGAGTTATTTAAGAGCCCTCTCTGGTGAAGCAACAGGTTAAAGCATAGTACTATGAAGCTATCTGCAGCCACTGCAGCACTAGTTCAACCCCTGGCCACAAAGGTGACCCACATGGCGCGGCAGGTCTCTCCTGACCTGCCTGCTGCTCCCCTCAACAGTGTATTTCAGTCAATCTGCCTGTTCTGCTCTCTGCTCTGTCTTTGGTGAATCCTCTCACCCTCTTGCATCTCTGGCTCATATCCCAGTTCTGTATATAAATAAATCTTTAAAAAATGTTATTAAAGTAGTATTAATTTGTGATAAGCAATAAGAAGTATACATTTTAATAGCATTTTTCAGGCCTTATCGCCGAAGGAGGCTTATTTTTTAAGAAAAAATGTACTGTAAATAAAAAATTTTCTATCTTACTGTAAACAGAAAAGCATTCAATTTAAAAAATGGAGACACAATTTTTACAAAATGAACTCATCTATGGAACATCTCCCACACAGGGAATTATAACATTACCAGCATCCCAGAAGCCTCTCATGTCCTTTCAGTAATTTACTCCTGCAAAGGTAACCTCTTAGACTAACTTTGCCTCAACTAGATACAAATGGATTCATGCAATATATATTGCTTTGTATGTGCTTCTTTCACTTATTGTATTATAATTCACATGCCATAATATTTATAATTTCAAGTATAAAAATCAATGGTTTTAGTATATTCACAATATTGTCCCACCAGCTACTTCTAGAAAATTTTCATTATCCCCCCCAAAAGACTTCATATATAGTAGCAGTCATTCTCACTCCTATCTCCTACCAATCTCAAACCCCTTTTACTCAGCTTTATGTATGTGAAATTCATCTATGATAGCCACAGCAACTTTTTCAGTAAAAGGCAAGACAGCAAATATTTTAGGCTTGTGGCCAGGCACACAGTTAACACCTACTTAACTCTACTGTAGTAATGAGAAAAGTCACAAACAATTTCAACAAATGCAGTAGCTATGTTCCAATACAATTTTATTTACAAAAGCAGACAACTGATGAGCTATAGTTCTGCCTGATGGTGTGATGGCAATACTACATTATTTTTGTTGTATATGACATTGATTTGATGACTATGACAGAGCTTATTAATTCATTTTACTGTCCTAAGACAGCCGGTATTTGTAGTTTTGGGTTACAACAAACAATACTCCATGAATATTCTTGTTCGTGTATGTCTTCTATACATATACACACATTTACATAGGGTGTATAACTAAAATCTGTAAAGTTACTAGAGTCTCTTATCTGCTTCTATTTGAATCAGTACAAAGACAGCATGTTAAAAAAAAGAGACAGTAAGTATATAAGGTGACACAAGGAAGAAAGAATAATCTATTTCCTATTTTTCTACCAGACATTATGTTTTAGAGAAATTATTTCATTTAGTCCTCAAGGTTCAGTAAAGTGAGGAAGAAACTGAGGCAGGTCATTAAGTTAGTAAGTAGTGGTGGCATTACAAAACAAATCAGGTCTGTTTGTTCCAAAGCCTACTTTTCCCTTTACTATGCATCTAACACTGAGGAAAAATTGGAAGAAATGATCCTATCTAAATTTACAGTTCATAGGGAAACCAAATAAAGGATCAGGGGAAAAAAACCATGGAACAAAATGAAAAAAGTAAAAACAATACTAGCATGTAATTATAAATCAGAGAGATTCTGCAAGGAGAAGTGGGGGAGGGAGGGGATGCAGGACCAAAACAGGGCAAAGAGCAGCACAGGGACAATGATGATGGATCACAGGTGAACTGGCGGTGGGAATTTTTCAGGGAATACAATTAAAAGGAGAAAGCATAGAAACATACATTGCATTAAAATGAATAGTGATGTAAAAAAATATATATGTATATGTATATATATATATATAAATTTACAACTCAGCAGTATAACAATATGCCTATGCTTTAGAGAGTAAAACAGTTCCATTCTAATAGAATCATTCTAATGAGGCTGGCCCTTGCAACATGTAAATTGCTGACTGACTGACTACTATATTAATGCACATAACTAATCAACAGCCTCAGAAGTTTAAGTTCTTACTCTGCGAAATTTGATCAACATCTTTTTTTTTTAAAAAAAGATTTATTTATTTATGTGTACAGAACTGGGGTACAGGCCAGAGGTGCAGGGGTGGTGAGAGGACTCACTGGAGTCACAATGGAGAGAACAGGCAGATCAACGAAGTACACTGCTAAGAGGAGCAGTGGGTGAGACAAAAGAGGTCTGCTGTGCCATGTGGGTCACCTCCAGGCCAGATATCGAAATCGCATTGAAGCGACTATAGCTAGCTTGCGGTCCTGTGTCCTAACCCACTGCACCACCAGGGAGGGTCCGATTAATGTCACTTATAAAGTTTAAATTCAGAAATTCTAACATGTTAGATAGGTATCTGTACATTTGATGATGGCTAGAAAGCTACTGATATAAGGGCCCTTTATTCTTTACCTTCACTAAGTTCACTGTTAAACTACTGATATAATACTATTTTTAATTTCCATTACCAAATTCTTTTGAAAAAGCAAGCTCTAACATACATTAACAGTCTAAACTCACATCAGCTAATATTTTTATTTTCATGTCAGACATAGAACTATATACTTCATTCATTCTAGTTTTATTTCTAAAGAGCAAAGAGCAGTACCTAGAGGCAGCTGCCAGTCAGTCTTACCTTGCCATCCGTGGTGGTATTGATCCTGTAGTGATACACACGCCCTTCATACCTCAACGAGATTGACAGCTGCCCGGGGCTGCTCTCACTTTCTCGCACAAGGAAACTGCCATTTATTAGACTGCTGAGCAGATACTCCGCCGCACTGCGTGACACAGGCCCATGGTACCAGGAATGTTTTTCCAGGCTGTTCACTGGAGTGATGTAGTTGCTCGGCACCCAACCTTGGCCATTCTTAGAGCGAACTTCACTCCACTCACCATTCTGGTTGTAACCAAGCACTCGTAGCTTTTCACCTAGCCATGAGGCCATCATAGAATGAAAGAAAAGCCTTTAGTTCCAGAAGAAGTCTTGTTTGTCAACCTTTAAACTCACTAAGAAAATGAATCAAAACCTTTATACAAACTTTTAAAATGAAAACTTGGCAGTTCCTTGTGTCTTCTTTGAGCTCTTTAGTTTGTAAGTTAAAAGAAACAGCAATTTTCTGGTATTTATGACAAGTCTTTTTTTTTTTTAACCTACCACTTATAAAATGTCTCTGGGAAACTCCATGAATGGTAGCATATGAAGTTAGAAAGGTTATGGAAAATAAGTCTTACTCATCAAAAGAGAATGGAATTCATTGTTACCTCCAAACATTTGTCAAAGATATATAACACAATGTTAACAACAATTAAGAATTAGGAATAAGATGTGAAATATGTTACTTTTAAATTTCACTTGGCATCAAGGCAACAAAAGTACCAATGTAAAAATAATAATAATTACAAACTTTTAGCAATCTTTTCAGAAAGAAAACTGGAAGTGGAGGTGGACAGTGAGGATTCCTAAAGCACTTTAAGAGTCTTTTCCAAGACTCAAAATTTAATAGTTTCCCAATTCCCCTCCCTAACCCCATCAAGAATGAGTCACTCCCATTCATTTCTCTAAAATTAGTGTGTGGGAAGGGAAATCGGAAGTTAGAACCCGAGACTCATGTTACTCAGAGTATCCTTACTATATATAAACTTCAATGTTCTTGACTTCTGTATTAAAGTTGTGAATATCAAGTTTAGACTCCTTCAACTTACATCTAGCTCTTAAACTTACAGCACAGATTGCATCTTTGGCAAAACAGGGAAGATGAAAATGAGTAATAACTGATCATCCAAATAATATTTATAATGCTTTTGGCTCCTATCTCTAAGAGATGCAAGCCTTCCCATACAGTTCACACCTAATTCTTGAGTGTCAGAAAGCCAAACCAATAAATAGCACATGCTCCAGTAGTTACCAAACTAAGGCTATTGAGGAAAAAATCAAAACTTATTATACTGGCAGTTGCCTAACTTTTTTCAGTGATGTATGGAAAAGTATGACACCTCTATGTGAGACATCCAATGAAGAATAACAAGGAAAGCATGTACTTTTCCTTTACATACATATATGTACTTAAAATATACATATGTACAGGTAGAGAAATGTGTATGCTGTGGTGACATGTGTAGAAAAATATTCCCCAACCACATTTTTAGGAAAAAAAAATTAGTGTGGCTAGAAAAATTAAAATGTTACTACTTTCTCTATTACTCTAGACAAGAATAAGGATTAGTAAGGAAAAATTACTCATGAAGTACATTATTGTTGCTTCCTTACCAAAAAAATCCTTATCGGTAAGTAAGAGGTCATCATAATTAGGAAACAGTGAAACAGCTTCAGTTTTTGTTTTCCTCTCTTTTTGGCAGTTAGAAGGAGTATACTTCTATTCTGGAAATTTTGAGTAACAGGGATAACTGGTAGGGATAAAAACAATGGACCTACTGACAAAGAAATTCTAGGAGAACTTTTGTTTTTTAATTTAAACAAAATATAATCAAATAATGAACTGAAACAAATAATGCTATTTTATTTTAAAAATATATTCTCTTGTCTTTTAAAATAATAAAGTAGCTTTAAACGCATGACATCTTTTTATGTTAATAAGGAGCTGGTAGAAAAACCTTGCATCAAGGAAAAAGACAAATACTGGAGGTGTCAGTTACTTACGTAACATATATAGAGAAAGAAGTCAAAGAGTGAGGTAGTCAAACCCAAAACAAACCCTAGACATTTTATTATGGAACTGAAGCTACCACAGAGGGGCAAGAATGGATGAAAACAAAGTGGGGAGGGAGCCCAATGGACTATGATGGAGGACAATGGGTACTTTAGTGGTGGGGATGGTATGGTAATACCTAAAGGGAGAGATCCTATGCCTCTAAAATAAAATCAAAGTTGTATGTCAATGCTACAACAATAAGAAAAAATTAATTAAAATCTGGCATCTTGTTGGTTCTAAAAAAAATCACCAATAATGGTAAAATAAAGCATTCCTTGAGCTGCAAACTAGTGGTTGTCATAACTGGTAACTATGGAATCAACAGACTTCCCTTATCAGTCTTTTCTTGGTGACTGAGCTAATTTGGAAAATACTAACATAAAATATTGACATGAAAATATTGAAATAATAGATCTAGGAAAGAAAATTGAGTTATTGCCTCACCAACTTCTCCAGAGAAGTATCAGTAAAGGTAAAAGAATGTGCTGTAGCCCCAAATGGTTATTGCTAAGAATTTCTTTAAAGCCCTTTGTTTTTCATCCTAAAACATTGTATACAATTTTCCTTCCAATGCATAAACCCACACTCCTACATATACACAAACACTAACCCTATTTGTTCGGCCTCAAACTATCCAAATTTTTAAAATAAAAGTAACAACTAGCTATTAATGCACTTTACAATTCCTATGCCTTTGAAACCTCCTGGCACATACATACATGCCATTATACTCACTCTGGGACAGATTTATACCTCAGCTTGAGAAACCTACTTTTAAGCATTTCTTTCAATTAATTCACTTTTAATGAATTTGGCTAATTTTAAAAATTGATACCTGTAAAAAATTATATAAAGGTAATGTTCCTTGAGTGGAGACCTACCTTACTAATCTGATATATCTGTTCCCATTTAATTTTTTTTTTTTAAGATTTATTTATTTGTACATACAGAACTGGGGTACAGGCAAGAGGCTCAGGGGCGGCGAGAGGCTTCACAGAGAAAGAGTGGGGAGCAGAACAGGCAGATCGACGAAGTACACTGCTGAGGGGAGCAGCGGGCGGGTCAGGAGAGGTCTGCCACGCCATGTGGTCACCTCCGGGGCAGGCGGGAATTGAACTCATGCAGAAGTGGCTTTAGCTTCTTAATGCTGTGCTTCAACCCGCTGCGCCACCAGGGAGGGCATGCCATTTAATATTTTATTATGTCTCTTACAAACAAAAAGTATATGTTGAATAAATAACTATTTAAATTACAATTTCACTAAGTTAAAAACTATCCTAAAATACAGTTTTTTACAGTACCCTTTCATAGGTTCAAAAACAAGAAAAAGCTTGTAAACAGATTAGTAATCCAATTCATAAACACAATGAGAATGCATCAAACTCCTATTTCATTCTCATGAAAGTTCTACATTTTTTGTCCTTGTTCAAAAAAAAACAGTAGTAGGAGATTTTACTTGGTCTTGTTCTTGGTGTTCCTTTGCTAAGAATTTCCTACTGTAATAAACTACTCTCTTAAGAATATAATAAAACTCCTTCCTACTTTTCCTTTCACTAACACTTTGTATAAGCATAAATGAGAGACAAAGTGTCTAGACCAGAGCTGTGCAAATCAGCTTCACAACAATGTAAGATGCCTGCACCAAAATCACTAAATTCTGAATCACTAAACTACTTTCTTCAGGCTAAGATCTTTCTCAAAAAGAAAAAAAAAATTCCAGCTGCACTAAATAATAAATAGCAGTTATGGAGTCTGTTTATATTTTGTGTGCATGGTCTTAATCTTGCTGCAGACGAGTAATAACATATTTGTATATATTCATATAATAATATTCAGAACTAGGTGGTCAGTCCAGGGATAATATTAGTAGCACTGGAGTTTAGCAACATGACTCATCTGAGTTAGCACAAGTTCCAAGAGAAAAGATGGACAGTAAACCTTAACTTTGTGGCAGATGAATGCTGGCATATTACAGATAGTGCAGAACACTAAGAATGAAGTAAATTTATGTATACATTATGTGGTGTTTTTTCTGAAGAGCTTTATCTCATTTTTCCTTAATAAACCCAATAAAGTAGACAGAGTAAGATTATCTCATATACTGTTTTTTAAAAAAACACATTAAACCCAAAGTATCTGAGCCCAAATCATTTAGTGATTTGCATTAGTCGAAGGCAGAATCTAGACTTAGGAAAGCCTAAAAAGGGAGCTGATGTTTCACGGAAGCTCACCTTTAGTGATACTGAGTGTGTTATCACCACTTGCTACAAAATCATAAAGTGCAACAAATAGATTAGGGTCACTCTCGGTGGCTCCAAGCAAGTTCTCCTTGGAGCTCCATCTGATGGCTTCATTCAGTGCCTGGGGTTCAACATCACAACCATAAGGGCGGTGTAAGGCTTCTGAAAAACATAAAAAAGGAAGGAATTCAGAGTATGTTCAACAGTTAAAAATTCATTTGAATGCTGTATACAATCAGTGTCTTGGCTACTGGTATACAGTGAAGGTTCCAGATTACAACAGAATATTATATGAAGTCATGAAGAATGAGCAAATGACAATCTCTTAAGCATGAGGAAGTCTACTTGTTAAAAAATAGTTAAGACAGGACACAAAAATACACACTTAGCTAAAATTTAAATGCAATCATCCTAATCAGGAATAAATGAATAGGAACTTAAAAATACTTTTCTCAAGAAAAATCTTCCCCCTCACCCCAAAAAGGTGATTCATCTTATAAAACACAGGATATGCTGCTGTGATGGTAGTGGTATTAAGAAGGAAAAGCTGTATTTTATAAGTCCTCCCAACCTATCCTTCCTTCCTTTATACCCAATATAAAACAAATTTTCAAAAAGAGAAAACAAGATTTTAAGGAATGTGTACATACTGTATAAATCCGGACCCTTCATTTACATATGGGGGAAAAATCCTAAAATTATCTGGTAGAACAACAGGGGAAAAAAACAGTGTTTTGGTTTATTATAAAATATTCTTGGCATTCCAAAATACCTTGTTACCATGCACCGTTTATAATACAATAGCTTCTAGTTACTTATTGTTTCAATGAAAAAAAATTTATACACTATTTTCTTCTCCAAGATGGTCATTTTCATAAAGTTATCAGTTGTTTAGTTGAAGGCTATTAAATTTCACTAACAATAGATATTGATTCAATTTCTGCCATGTGTAGTAATGTGAGTTATAGTTTCTTCCCCAAGGCTTCACAGTTCTTAAATACAGTCATAGTATATAAACAGGTGTTCTTTATACCATCTTAGTTAATAACCACCTGCTTCTCACAGCCCAGGTAAATTTTATCCAAAAAACAAAACAAAACAAAAAAAAAAACCACTGTTCTTTCAGTCGCAATTTTCTTGATCACTGGGTTTGCTTTTAGTGGCTATCAGCCACTATACAACTGCCTATGTCATGTGATACTTTTTTCTTTCTCCCCCAATCATTTTTTAATTTAAAATTGGTCTTAGCATGTTTGAAGGAGAAAAACCAATGAATCTATAGCTTTATGTCTTTGTAAATCCATTCCCTCTTCTCTATCTCTAATGCCAATTCCTTAGTTCAGATACCCATCATCTCTCACCTGGACTACAGCCTCCAGTCTTGTCTCCCTCAACTCCATCCTCCACACAGCTGGCAAAGTGATCTATTTAAAACAAAAATTTGACCATGTCAACTCTTCTTAAGACTATTCAAAAGTTCACCAACAGGCTGAAATCTACTTAAATTGGCAGTCAAGGTCTTTCATGATCAAATCTTTATTTCACCTTCACCTCTCCTAACTCCCCACATCTATACCCACTCTATCTTCAAATTTTGAGTATTGCTTCTTTATATGCTTTTGCCTTTACATGAAATGGGCTCCCAATCCACCCTTACTTTCACTGAGTGGCTTCTATTCTTTTTTTTTTTTTTAAAAAGATTTATTTATTTACTCATACAGAACTGGAGTACAAGCCAGAGATGGGGTGGGTGAGAGGATTCACCAGAGACAGAGTGGGGAGCAGAACAGGCAGATCAATGAAGTGCACTGCTCAGGGGAGCAGCGGGCGGGTCAGGAAAGGTCTGTCTGCCATGCCATGTGGATCTCCTCGGGGCAGGCTGGATCGAACTCATGCGGAATTGGCTTAAGCTTCTTAGTGCTGTGCTTTAACCCACTGTGCCACAAGGGAGGGCCCTCTATTCATTTTTTAATTAACACTCAGCTCCTCTCTAACCTCCCCTAAGAAGTGTCCCATACTCTCCTCCCTATGCTCTCAAAAACATACCTGGACCTCCCTGCACTGGGATTAAGCTCAGCACTCTCAGGCTTTTACCCTGTGGCCTAAGTTGGATCTTCGGCCTGGAAACTGACCCACATATGGTGCTGCAGCAGACTTTTCCTGTCTCACCTGCTGCTCTCCTTAGGAGTCTATTTCAATAAATGTATCTGTTCTGCCACCTACTCTGTGTAATAGTGAATCTTCTCACTACCAGCACCTATATGTAATATGTGTTCAATAACTATAAGCTAATGAATGACAAAATTACACAAAAAAATATGTGACAGGAAGTAATGACAGAGTCTGGTAACATACACTATGTTTTTCTTTATTCTAATGAAAAATTATTTACTCTAGCAGAATTTACACTGGGCCACAAAATGACAAACCATTATTAAAATGAAAAGAATTATCAAAAAGAAATTCAGAAAATATTCCTAATATTTACTTGACTCTAAACTAAGCATCACAGGATCCATGATCCTGATTCATCACATGGAACAATGACAAATGTTTCTTGCTAGTGATAGTGGTGATCCATGATAATTTTGTGGTTATTACTGCCTGATAATTGTAAAACAGTAAATTTTCTTCTTTTTAGATAGAAGTATTCCTTATTTGAAATTATAAGAGGAATAAAAATCAAAAGTAACAAGAATTATATTCAAGAGTGACAACCATCTTTGACTGACCAAATCAGATAATAGTTAAGAAGTCAATAAACTCCTAAAGCACATTAAGACAGCAATGCCATATATCTATAACTCATTTTGTGAAAGCGAGCATATTAAAACTTAAGGTCAATTAACCTAGTTAATTTTACTGAGCATATAATAAACACTAAGCCTTGTACTGGACACATCAGAAAATGAAGATTATGGACCCCAACGTGATCTAGGGGTTAACTATCAACACTATCACCTCTATAGTCTGACTTTGGACGTCTGCCAGGGGGCTAACCAGCATATGGTGTGGCAGACGGCTCCTGTCTCACCCACTGCTCCCCTTAGTGTGTTTTAGTAAATCCTCTGATAAATCCTCTCACCACCCCGCACACCTCTAGCCTATACCCCAGTTCCTCTATACAAAAATTTTAAAAGAAAATGAAGACTCTAAATCACTAGTAGCACTATTTGGCCTTAGATAAAAAAAAAAAAAACTCTCCACTCTCCCAAATTTGCTTCTTCACAGAATTCCTCATTAACCAATTTTCATCAGTTAATGAAAACTCAACCTTTTCAGTTGCTCAGACCGAAACCTTTGGAAGCTTGAATACAAACTACTAGTTATAATCTGAGTAAGTTCTGGCTCTCTAATGTCTAACATAATTTGTGATTATACTTAATAACAGTTTTATGTACTTGAAAGTTACTAAAAGTAGACCTTAAATGCTTTTCACCACAAAAAAGGAATAATTACATGATGTGATGCAAATATCAGCTAACATTATGGCATAAATCATTCTGCAGTATCTAAATGTACAAATCAACACTGTATCCCTTAAACTTGACATTACATCAATTATGCCAAAAAACCCTTGAAATCATTCACAACTCCTTAATTGAACTCATAGACCACTTCCAATACATTAGAAAACCCTACTACCTTCCAAAATATATCTAGAATCTATCCCTTTCTCATCTTCTCCATTACTAATAACCCTGCACCACCATCTTAGCCTACCAAGAGTATTTCACTAGATTCCTAATGTATCTCCAATGTTTCTATCCTTGCTTCTACTGACAATTCTTAACCAGCCAGGTTTTAAAAGCAAAAGTCATATCTGTGTTACTGCTTTGCTCAAAATTATCTGAAGGCACCCTATCCTAGAATAAAAGCTAAAGTGTTGGCCCTCCCTGCTGGCGCAGCGGGTTAAAGCACAGCACTGAGGAACTAAAGCCACTTCCGCATGAGTTCGATTTCCGCCTGCCCCGGAGGTGACCACATGGCGTGGCAGATCTCTCCTGACCTGCCCGCTGCTCCCCTTAGCAGTGTACTTCATAACTCTGCCTGTTCTGGTCCCCACTCTGTCTTTGGTGAAGAAGCCTCTTGCCGCCCCTGAGCCTCTGGCTTGTACCCCAGTTCTGTGAGCACAGATAAATCTTAAAAAAAAAAAAAAAAAAGCTAAAGTGTTTACAAGGACCTACAACAAAGCCTTTTGCAATTTATCTTGCCTGATTCATCATCTTACTATTCTCTCCTAGTTTACCTCATTCTGACCACTGGTCTCCCTGTTATTACTTGAACATGTCTGGCACATACCCGCCTCTGGACCTTTGTACTGACTTTCCTTCTGCCTAAAACATTCTTCCCCAACATATCCATGACATTTCACTCAAATGCCATCCTCTTAGTATGGCATTCTGTGACTATCCTATTTCAAAATGTGTCTTCCTGACAACACTCCCACACACACCCTATCTCATTTCATAAATTTATTTCTCTCTATAATGCTTATTACCACAAAATATATAACTTACTTATCTATTATATTCATGAATTCATTATACTAACTTCCCCCACTAAAATGTCAATTTTATAAAGACAGGGGCTTTTATCTGCTTTCTTCACTGATAAAATTTTAAGCACCCAGAACAATCTACAGATATAAAAAGACTCTCAAAAAAAGATTTGTTGAATAAATGAATCATGTAACACTGGTATACTCAGAGAGTACGCTATGATATGACATAATAGGAAAAAAGTCTGAAACCAGAAAAGGTTTCAGAGGAGAGAAAGTACTGAAATTGGATGAACAAGAATTCTGCACTGATGACAGCAAAGTGACACAGCAGAGTGATAGACTGTCAATGCACAAAGACATGTCTACAACGTGTATTTTATCAGTACAGGAGAGGAATCAATAAGCTCAAAAGAAGATTGCTAAAAGAAGGTCAGTGTCTTAAAAACCATGTTACTTGACAAAAGAAAAAAGATAATGAACTATAAGGCACAATTTTATGTAAACCGAAAAATAATAGTATACTGTATATTTTGTAAGTATATAATCCAAATGGGTTAAAAGTCACATGAACTCAAAATACTAAAAGATTTACAACTTGGAAAACAATTATCCCCCCCCCCATTGTTATTACCATCGCTGGTTTTACCTTTTTATTTAAGTCAAAATATCACATTTCCTCTCTTTTTTTTCTTCCTTCTTCCCACTCACTCTTTTGTTCTCAGAGAACTAAGAGTGAACTTCCTATACAATCTGTCTGTACAGGATATCCACTCAAACACAATCCTACCCACTCGCACTAGGAAAAAAAAGAGAGGAGAGAACTTTTCCAAAGAGAGAAAACATCCTAACATTTTCCTGAAGCTGAAAATGAACGTGTGTTAAATCCAAAAAGTTAAAGGACCAGACTGGGGAGAACAGCTAAGGAATAAAGCCAGAAAGAAAAGAGCGAGTAAATGCCACAGTGTCACTGTGTTACCTAGTGGGTCTACCCTATGCCACTTTCCTCCTCCATTTAAGACAGACAAATCTGGATGATTCATTCACATGTACAGTGCCTGCCCAAAACAAGAGTATTGGCTGGGAATGTTTTACTTTTGAACATTGTGAAGTTGACTACCACATGTAAAGCATCTTAGATATCTTAGACAGTGAATTACAATTTTTTGTCAATCACTGCTACATAGGCAAATCATGGATTTAAGACATCTATTGTCTTGAAGACTCTGCTTATCAATTATGGAATCCCCAAATACATTATGATTTTAAGTAATATTATTTTCTCTGTTGATATTCTAGCAGAATACAATGAAAGTAAAGCAAAACAGAAATAGCAACTTGTACAAGGTACATTATCAGGATTAACTGAATTAAAATCCAGAATAAAATTCAAACTTTTACTGAGGTCCTACTAAGAAATACCATTAGGAAAAAAAGCACATGAAACTTCACAGACCAAGTATGAAAGTAGTAACAGTGGCTGATAACATTTTTTGAACTCTCCATTCACAGTGAGCTGCTGTGCTTTTCTATCTACCCTTCCCCAAATATCAAATCCAAACCATACCTGTCAAGTTGGGTAGAGTAGATTCCGAGTCCTCACTGCGTAAGTAGCAGAGAGATGGATCCTGTTCTCTGCCATAACTCTGAGGTGGAAGCAGAACTGTCCCAAGGACCATCGTCTGCCCAGAAGAACGAAGTTAAACTGTGCTATGCAAAGAGGAAGTTCAGAACTCCACTCTCTGACAAGCAGTACCGCATGTGTGTGACGTTTACTCATGTACTCAGTGGCCAAAGGGAACTAGCATAAGAGTAAGCATTTACCAAGTTCCAAAGTGGGTGGAGAGTAACTGGAAGGAAAATGTCTGGTGATTAGGAAGAATGACTCAGAATGGAGTTACTTCAAAAACCTGGGAAATATTT